CACGCACGCACGCACGCACGCACGCTCCCGATTTCTGAGGTCTAAAGCTTGGCAAGTATGCCCAGGAAGCACAGTGTCTTAACCGTTTTGGCCATTTTGTCCCCCTCCATGTGTCTCCACTCCGCCCGGTGTTTCCTGAGACGTTTCATATAATTCATCCTGAGGTTCTGGATCCCTACGCTCTTCTCAAAGAGCCAGGACTGCGGCCTCTCCCGCTGAGCGGGATCCGCCCGGGACCGCTGCAGTAGCATCAGCGTGGCCATCTGCTGCGTCATGCTGATGAGCTCCCTCTCGCGCTCCTCCTTCTCCTCCGTCCTGCGCTGCAGGTGACGCTGCGGGCTGCTGTTCACCGTCTCCAGCTTCTTAGCGGCCGCTCGCTCAAGTTCCCTCTTCAGCTTGCGGTTATTCCCCTCCAGGATTTTTAGCAGCTCCTCCCGTTGCCATTCTTTTTCCTCCTTTCTGGCCTTCTGGGCCGCGAGCTCTGCCTGTCACCGTTTCCGTCTCTCCAGCTCCTCCAGCAGCTGACGTTCTCTCTCCTGACGGATCTTCTCCTCTGCCAGTTTCTTCTCCTCCTCCAGGCGTATCAGACGAGCCTCCTCCACTAAGCGCATCTCCTCTTTCTGCTCCCGCATCAATATCCGGTTCTCCGGCAGGATCTTTGATGCCTCAGCAGCAGAGTTAGTGCCCGTCGAGCCTCTAGCCAATCTGCCGTCTTGCCTCCGGAGTCTCCGTTCCTCTTCCCGTGCGAACTGCTGCTCACCGGCTGCCTGAAGCTGCAGGAGTGATCTCATCATTTCCCTCAGTTCCTCCATCATTCTCAGCTCCTCACTTGGTCAATCCCACTTCTGACACCAATTGTGACGCTGACAATTGAGCGGCCCGACCAAGTAAGGAGAGGGAGGCAGAACGTCCCAAATATAACCTGGTGTGGGCATTTATTACTCACAAACATATGACATAGCCTCAATCTGCTGTTCACTTGAGCACAGCCACAAGGATCTCCCACATACTACCAGCCTCCAAACAGACAGTGACACAGAGCCTAAATACCCACACACTAATCAGCAATTAGACATAGGTGGGGGGGGGAGGAGACAACACAGGGCACCAGGTGAACATAATCAGGAGTAACAGACAGAACGGGAGTGGGAACACTTTTCAAAATAAAAAGCACGCACGCACGCACGCACGCACGCACGCACGCACACACACACACACACACACACACACACACCTGCAGACTCGCCGCTACACTCAAACATAAGGTCTTAAATAGCAGGTGCCCATCAGCTGTGATGTGTTCCTGCTAAATGTCTCCTCGGGAGGCGATAAATATTCCATCAGCCTGTCTGTCATTGGCAAGAGAAAGTCATAATGAAGCCTAAAGATCATTCTCTATTCATGTGCCAACATTAGCCCCTTCCATAAAACAAACTCAAATATTTATCAGAGTTGAAAAGCCATTCAGTAATATCAGTGGCATTGTAAATGGACCTGAAAGATTATAAAAAAAGAAATCACACATGAAAAAAGTGTTTTTCTAATAATAGTACCCGCATTGGGTATGGTGGCAGCATTCTGGTTGGCTGGTTTTTATTGCTTGTTATTAGATCCTGGCAAAACAATTATTAATCTTGTAATTTTTTTTCCTGCTTTTGCTGGCAAAACAAAAGAATTAAAACAGTGCCCTTGGGCTGCACAGTCCCACTGTAATGATTAAAAACAGGAAATTGTGATGCATAAACTATTAGACAAAGCCATAATCAGATTAATTAATTTCCTTCATTTCTAAAGGCTAACGGGTTTTCTTAAAGCCACGCTGCCTTCACTGTAAAACAGAGATGCATCTGAAAATGTGAACGAAGCAATAGTCAAAAAATGCGTTTGGTTATTTGATTTTATTACTTAATTAGCACTGATGACTCAACATAGGTGCCGATCCCTGATCCATCTGGAACACTGTGCTAAGATGTTATTGGGATGCTATACTGGTTATTAAGTTGTTAAAATGTCTTAATGATCCAGAATTTAAGACTTTACGCTGTCATGAGTACATTTGTATATTATTATGGCAGCTTTAAATGTGTTTGGATGGTTTTTGTTTTTGTTTGGAGAAAAAATTAAACAGTCCCAGGGAAATTGGATTGCTCAAAGAAGCACAATCTTTAACATAAAAAAGTAAATAGTTTCCTGTGTAAACTGAAACTCATGTAAAATGGCAACTTAGCCAGCAGAATAGAACGCTGTATCCAAAGGGTCTCAACAGTAAGACTCAAAATACTTTATTAATTCCTAATACAATGTGCAATCTCTGTAAGGCCTACAGTAATAGCATAAAACCATGTGTATTTTAAAATTACCATCTGATAAAACACACCTTTTCATCCTTGCAGTTAAACACACTTTGATATTTGAAAAAAAAAATTCATATAGACATTCCTAAAATACATAATTCAGTTTTAATGGCATGCATCTTTTGACATGTGAAAATTACAATATTACAGTAGAAGAGCCATATTTAACATTGTGTTTTTGAATAAAGAAAAAGCCCAAGCATTAAATAGAATTCAGTGTTATGTGATGACTGTAAGTATTATTTTTGATATAACACACACACCCATACTCACAATCACACTAAAGAGGGAATACAGACAAGTGACAATGACAGAAAGGAAGAAGCCCTTGAAAAGCAGATGAAAAATTACAACTAGGAATGACCACAATCAATTCTGAAACACTGCACAAAATTAATTAGGTTTCTGCATGGAGCGTGTGTGTGAGTGTATATGTGAGCGTAATTTGTCTCTGTGCTTCTCCACTGCCACTGAGAAGGCAGGGGGGGAGACTGTTCAGCCTCTCTTTCACCCCATCTCATTCCTCTTCAGCCCAAATGATTAACTGCAAATTACTGATCTCACAACATAACAGTAGGCTACTGTATGTGTGTGAGTGACTGTGTGTATGAGAGCCATGCATCAATATCAATAACAGTGGCAACCAATGACAAGTTACTCACATATATTAGTCATATGCACAGATACGGACATAGCAGACACATGCACAGGCTGAAAGCCAGGGCGCACTAGTATTTGTAACATCAAATAGATCACTAAAATCTATTCATTGCTATTGAATGGGGCTAAAATAAGGGCTTCAACACTAAGTAAATACATGTCTTATACATAAAATCTACATTTAATTGTGTTGTTTGCTCCACCTCTCCTCAGGTGTTCCTGATCTCCACTGATAAAAGGAGGGCTGGATGAGGAGCACTCGCTCTGCCGGTCAGCCCAGCACTCAGTTATCTTTAGTTTAACAGTTTAAGCGTTAGTTGGCCAATACTACCCTTTGTTTTATTCCTAGGATGGGGGAACTGGTTGTCTATTTGTCTCTGTTTTATTTCTGTTTAGTTCATGGGTTGTTTATTTTCTTTAGTTTAGGGTGGGGCACCTGTTGCTGGGCCGGATTACCCTCCGCTTTTGTTCTTTATGGCCAGTGTTTTGCTCTCCCTCTGATGTTCTGGAAAGTCCTGCAAAAACCAAAAATAGAATTTACGCTGTTATGCTCCATGAATTTACGCTGCTATGCTCCATCTCCAACTTATTTCACACTTTCTCCATCTCTCCCTTAAGGTGTTTTTGCGAGTATAAACAAGGCATTAGGAGGAAGTCAATTTATCTAACTAGCTTTTTGGCCTAAAGGTTATACAAATTGAGTTTGGTGCAAAACACTGAAGGTGTCTACAAAAAGACTTGGGGTATATCCTTTTTATCTCCATTTAGAGGACAAGCTAAAGATCTTGGTAACTGTTGTTTAGCAGCTTGCTAGCTTAACATTGTCGCTGATAGGGCTAGCCTGTTACCAGCTAGCTAGCCAGTAGACATTAGCTCACAGACTAACCATAAAACATAGAAAATACAGCTAGCAGCACTATCTAAGTCGCATACAAATAGCAACATGTGATGTCATATTGTCTTTTTTGAGAAACTGATGTCCACACACGTTAACAGAAACATTCACACAAACTTGAATTCTCACACCGACTCTATCTTATTGTACATGTGTGCACACACTTATTCACACAAAGCAGAAGGTAGTGCTCTCAGTGTCTTTCGTTTAGCACATGGCTAAACTTTACTCTGTCAGTAAAGATATTCCACTTAAAACAGTGAACCTTCTGAAGTCCTCATCAGAAGAGCAGTCCACACTTTCATGAAGCTAAGACACAATTAAATACAAAAAGATACTTTTATCAACACATCACTTCAAAACACACACGCACACGCACACACACACACACACACACACACACACACACACACACACACACACGCACACACACACCCTCCAGTCTACTACCCTGTGAACTTCAATCCATCGCTCTAACTTGCGGACAAAAGGGACCAGAATTTCTTTGGAGTGTGTACGGACATCAAAAAACATGATGTCTCGACTTGTCTGAGAAGCAGGGGCCCAGACGGTTCCAGCGCTCAGGGGGCCTCTATGATCTGATATCTTTTTAATTAACGGTATCCCATTCAGCCACTTGAAGGAACAAAATAAAAAGGGAAAGAGAGCGAAAGAGGGAGAGACTTAAGTTTTGACAGCTCTAATTAATGTGCACGGTGGCAAAAAAGAGCAAAAGGAAAAGACGAGCTGATCTCATAAAGGACTGGTGAAGTATTCATTAGACAGGCCGGTCCGTCTGAAAGACATCAAACACTCATCTCACTCGTTCCTCTACTTGTTTTTCTAAGATTTTCTTTAGATTCCTACGAATTGATTTTTCCGCAAGAAATGGAAGAAAATGGAAAAGATGACAAGAGAAAGACGGAGGAAGAGAGGCTGAAGATGTGAGAAAAATGAAAGGAGAGGAGAGTAAAAAGGGATGGGAGGCTAAAGGGAAGGGAAAGATGGAGGTGGGGGACGGAGCCCAGAGCTGCCTCTTTACAACAGGGGAGATGAATGACTTTCTACCTCTGGACACTGGGCCCTAATGAAACCTCCAGAGGCCAAAAAAAGGCATCTCTGACACACGCACACAATCGCGCACATGCACAAAAGCAGATGCTGTAGTGTATGTAGGAATGCTCACCTGCACACTAGTATACAAACAGTTCTAGAGATGGAAATTCCAGCGCACACACACATTATTAATAAAAACCCTGGTGCATGCACACACAAAAACATGGGTTGTATAAAATAAAAAAATAGACAGACATAGACACATTTTTGCCAACACACAATTGCACATGTTACACACAACTGCTTAACAAAAAAACGTACACACGTTCATGGTTAATTTGAAGTGGGACAGAGCAGCAGTGGTGCTGATAAAGCAGGCCAAAGAGACTGAGTCCTGTTTACAACCCAACATCCCATAATAGCATCAGATCTACGACCTTCTGCCAGGGAGACAGAAACGGGATCTAGTGTATGTCTGCAACCTGAAAAGATTGTCAATTGTGGGAAGCAGTTTTAATATTCTCTGCAAAAGGACATCAATGTTCCCTCTTATTTATTCAGTGTTAAAAGTATGCTGTGTAATACGAATAAGAGCAACAATATACATACATGTAGAATTCAAACAAGATTTCTTCGTCTTACTTATATTACATCTTTGTATGCATGGATGTTGTAAACATCAACCTTGTTTTAGGACAAACTTGTTGTTTTAATCACAGTGTCAGTGAAAAGTTCTACGCAACTCAGAAATGTACGGAGCCCCTAAAGGGACATGAAAAAAAAAAGAGAGAGAGAGAGAGAGAGAAAAAGTCGGGATAACGGGTGAGTATCTTGTGCGCACGAGAAA